TTTTTTTTTTATAAGTTTATTAAAGTTTTCAAAGGTAACATATGAATACGTCAAAGATAATAACAATAGTAAAGGTACAAAGTGAAATAGCTGTAGCAATTTAAAAGAGTGTTATATACATATTTCAATAAACGGTTATAACTTTTCCCACACATCAGCACTTCCAACTTTCCCAACTGTCTATCTGTTTTACTTTAAGGAGGTAACACAGAGCCCAGAGTCTAAATAAAGAACAATAACTGAGACTTAGCTCTCTTAATAGACTCCCAATCAAACTTGTCAATGTTGATCTTATCTAGGATGGGAGACCATATATTCAGAGGATCCATTATATCAATTTCTGTTTGGAGTTCAGAATGAAAAATGTTAAAATTATCTAATAAAAATAAATCCCAAACTTTGTGGATCCATTGTTGGGTAGAGGGTACTGTTTTTTCTTTCCAGTGTTTTGCGATTAATATTTTTGCTGCAGTAAGCATTATATTGATCAATGTCTTATTTCTGTTGGTAATAGTCGTATCTGGAAGAGCACATCCTGTGTATGTTTGTACATTATGTATGATTTGTGTCCAAAAGGCTTGTATATATTTACACGACCACCAGCAATGTATGTATGTGGCTTTCTTCTTAAATTCCCAAGATCTTTTCTTTTGGGGTTGTAAGTTACACCTGTAATATTTCATTATGGGGGTAGAACTCTGTTGTGGGTAGGGGAAGGGAAAGGAGATTGTAAGCCACTCTGAGACTACGAGTGAAGGGCGGGGCAAAAATCCTGTCTCCTCCTCATCTCTCCTTGTTTGCTTGCTGTGTCCAAAAATAATATATTAGATGTGCTTGGAATTTTTTTCTGGTCCTCCATTCTGGTATCTTGTGATCCTCTTGCTCCAAAGGAATGTATCTGCATCCTCCATTTTCACATTATGTAGTTCAATCTCTGATATCTCCTCCTCTTCCAAGGTTGGCTCTTCACTCAAATCTTTTGGTTCATTTAAGGATTGTTCCAACAGATTTTCTATTTGGTAAAATTTGCAAGAAAGCCCCTGAACATGGTCTGCCAAAAGACACAAACTACGCTGCACTGGGAGCAGAGCAGCATCAAAAATGTTCTTAAGTGTTTCTGTTATCAGTTGAAAAGTAGCCATTTTTCCCACTGAGCAACTTAGTCAAATAGCCAGACCATCAAGGTTTGTTTAGACTAGACCTGAGAATCCACCAGATAATCTTCATTTTACAACCAGTTAGATAAAGGACAGCACAGTCCTTTTGATGTTATTTCCTTTAGATTGAAAGCCGCTTCCACTTCCAAATAGAGGGGGGGGAGGGATAGCTAAATAGGCATTCCCCCCCTCCCCTTTTTTTCTGAACTTTCTCACAGTCTGGTTGAGTTCCTCGTCTCTGTTTCAGCAAACATTTCATGCAGGTACACAGAATAAAAAGCTTACTTGTTAAGTATTTTCTTGCAGTTGATGTAGAAAGTGATTTATTGTAGAAGTACATTTTGATTCTCACCAAGTCCGGAAGTCACAGCTTAGTGCCAATATGGCAATTGCTTCAGCTCGGGATTTGGGGCAGACAGAAGACTCCAGATCCAAGTTGCCGCCAGTGTCTGGTTCTTCGTCGCACCCCCTGCTTCAGGGACCCCTCTCCTGAGGCCCCCATAGAGGTTTGGATAGCCCAAACTCCCCCAAATCGTGCAATTCAAGTGGCTGCTGGAGTAGAGCTCCACAACTCACCTCAATCACACTGCGCCAAAACCAAAAGTCCTTAGCAAAAATTCTACTTTGTGAGCACCTGGCATTAAAGTGTGATTTGGCTACTGCATAAATTAGTTTGTTCTGGAGCTACCCTTCCTGAGCTAAGACAAAAATGAGCTGGAGACTAAAAAACTGTGAGCTAGCTCACACTAACTCAGCTTAGAGGGAACACTGCTGCTAACTATATTGTCAAAATCCAGTATGTCTGAGTCACAGGAATTCTCTAGCAGGTCTTTTATTGCCAATTTTCTAACTGTGTATGGTAACCCAAGTGTTTAGGGACTACAGATGCATTACTTCCACTGATTGCTTCAGAATCAGCAGGAGCTCAACTCCAGCACTTTTGTCCACAGCAGGAGAAACAGAACTAGCATTTCTGAAAGATAACGAAGATTTTTGGCCTTTTTCAGGTGAACAGTTTAACACAGAGCACAAATTCTCTAGTATTTTCAGTTATTGATCCTTCTCTGCTCAAAATAGTAGTTTTCTTGGACGCCACTATTACATATTCAAACCTTCCATCTCAAACTTATGAGGGAAGCTCCAGAAAGGGTCAGGTAGCCTCTGACTCTAAACAAAAGTTATACAGAAATCTAAATGTAGGTTGGTTGTTTCTTTCTGTAGACAATCACATTCCTACTCTCTAACTGAAATAAACTTTAAAAGCTGACTTACAGGATCACTTAATGTAAAATTGCCAGTGCTATTTTTGGGCAGGAACGCAAGGAACGGAGTTCCGGCTGGCTCCCGAGTTGGCCATGCCCAGCAGGAACTCATTAGCATAATAGGCCACACCCAACAGCAGAAACTCATTAGGATTGGCTACATTAGGGGTGTGTGGCCTAACATGCAAAGGAGTTCCCGCTACAAAAAAGCCCTGGGTTTTGACAACAAACATGGTAAACAGAATAAGAAGCAAAAGGTGGGTGTGGCTGGATGACCACAGGTCTGGTAACATGGGGGTGCGTCCTAATGTGCTAATGAGCTGTGTTGTCAGGGGTGTGGCCTAATATGCTAATGAATTTCTGCTGTTGGCTGTGGCCTATTATGCTAATGAGTTCCTGCTGGGCTTTTTCTACAAAAAGAGCCCTGAAAATTGCTATTCCCTATAATTATGTTAATAATCAATAAAATAGTCAAGTATTGTGTAGTGGCAAAAACATGGATTTCTGAAAAGTTCATCCACATTCATCACTGAGCTTCTTTCAATTACAGTAATTACACACACACACATTTCCTCACTAGCATAAGCAATCTCATTAAAAAGATAGTCTGTGTCTATAAAGAAAATGAGGTGATGACTATGAACAGGCTCTTAACCATACATTCTAATACTATGTGAGGAACCATAAGCAAACAAGCAAGAAGACAAGAAACAATGGAGCAAAGACTGGAAAGTGCAAAGAGTCTCTAGCAATATGATAATATTGAGGTCCTGAATAAAACGCTTCAAAAGTTGCTTGAATTTGTATGCCCAGTAATGGCTGACTTGCTCTTTAGTTGATGCTGTTTGGGAAGACTCAACATTTTAACTGAACAGTCCGCAATTTCCATAGTTAAATAAAACTATTTTTAGCTATTTACCATGACTCCGACCTTTTTCAATTTAAAACTACATATATTTTTAAAAATCTTTTTTTGACATTCTTTACACTTAAAATGTATAACAATCAACAAAAACTAAAGTAAGTCATTACAGTGTTTTAAAATATTCCAAAATGTGCTTGTCATTCTTCTATCACCATATTTCCATGCTACCAATGTAGATGAGATCAGCATTTGTGATGCTGATAAACCTTGTAAGTACAAATCCAACCCTTTTAAAAATGGACACAAGTGGAACCACAGTTGCATATACAATTTCAACTAATTTGTGCTTCAAAGTGTTGTTGGAGAGTTTTAGAGATACTGTGGATCACCCAAAAGACAAATAAGTGGGTTTTAGGTCAAATCAAGCCTGAACTCTCTGTAGAAGCTAAAATGACCAAACTGCGGCTATTGTATTTTGTCACATTATGAGAAGACCAGAGTCACTGGAAAAGACAATATTGCTTAGGAAAGTTGAAGGCAGCAGGAAAACAGGAAGACGCAGGAAGCCATGGCCCCCAGTTTGCAAGACCCAAGCAAGGCTGTTAACAATAGGACATTTTGGTAGTCACTAATTCATATGGTCGCCATAAGTCAGAAGACACTTGACAGCACTTAACTCACACACAATGTCATTTGTTGCAGCAGCACCACAATGACATCAGACAGAATTTCGAGTATGTGTTAGTGATCATTTGAGTATTAACGTTTTGTATTGTTGGATAAACAACATTCAGTGCAAACATTTTATACAATCTTAACATTTCTGTTGCGATATATTGGGTGACCTTATTTTGAACCATTACTAATTCTCACACCCTTTTGCATGGTTGGCATTCCAGAATGTGCAGTGATAATTCCAAGATGCATTTGTTCTTAAAACAGAATCAGAGTGGTTGGTGGATAGTTTTATTACACATATAGTTCATTTTAGTTATTTGTTGTTGTTTTTTAATCGATTCAATTTCACTGTTCCACAAGCATTTTAATCCCCTTTGATTGAATGTGAGTATTATTTTTTTTTAGTTTCGGGAACTCAAGCTCCAAGAATGCAAAGCCTGACCCCACACAACGATCCTAAGCCCTTTAAGTGGAAGCAAACTTTACTGAAAGAAACAGGACTTCCTGCCGAGTGAACCGAGCCTCAGGAGCCAGATTTGGTGGGAGTAGTGTGTTATTTCCTCTCTTCCGTTTCTCATACGTATGAATAAGAGGGGACGGATTTGCCAAACTGGAAGGAAGAGAATTCTGTACATTCCAAGTTAATACGAATTAACTGTGTTGTGCAGGTTACCATTACAGGCACTTAGGACAAAGCCTTGGATCCCTGTTTTGCCTCCTCGCTCCCCTCACAGCAACGTTTCTCGCCCAAGCTATACTTTTCCAAACTAGAGCCTGCCCGCCGGCTCTCCGCTCAAGAGGCATCAATCTGCCGCCTCTGCCTCTCGGGGGTTCCCGATGATCTGGGGAATCTCCTCGGAGGACAGGTGAAGCAGGGCCCCGCGGCTGCTGGGAGGACGGCGCCGTTGCTCTCTCGCGGCCGAGATAGGATCAGCCGCCGCGCCGTGAGCGCCCGAGCTCCTGCTCCTCAGCAACAGCTGCCGCCTGCAGCCCCCTCCTCCGCCTCCCGCCGCGCGGCTCCTTTCCGGGTCTCCGGCGGCCGCCATGTTAGGTCGGGACGGTGAACTCGGGCTCGGCTGAGGGGTGACCCACCGCCCGTCGCCTCCCCCCTCCGCCTCCTGGCGCGCGTGGAAGTGCAAGCGGCACCCCTGCTTCCCGGCTCCTCCCCCTCCCTCCGGCCTGGGGTTGTGACGGAGCCTCTGGGAGCGGCGGCGGGGCTCGCTCTTCGCCCGAGGATCCCGGCCGGCCGGGGCTCATGGGGCGGGCGCGGAGGGGCTGAGCGCTGCGCGGGGGAAGCGGCGCCGGGGTCTCTCGCCGGCCCCTCTTCGGAGCAGGCAGCCGGAGTTGCAGCCGGGCCGGCTCCTCGGGGCTTGAGGCGGAAGCTAGAGCGCCCTCCGCCCGCTCTCCGGGAAGAGAGGGAGTAGCAGCAGAAGGCGAAGGGGGGGCCCCGCCGAAAGCAGGTGAGAGTCCCGAGCGCTTCCCCACGCCCTTTCCCCTCCTGTCCGCCCCTTCCCGGGGAGAGAAGGGGAGAGGCGGCGGCGGCGCCTGGGGAGCGCTAGGCCCCGCACGCCCCCTCACCTTCCTGCCTCCTGCTTGGGCACGGGGCACACCCCCCCTCCCCAGTTATGCTTCTTGCCTGTGCGTGCGGCTGGCAAGTCACGGTGGTAGTTGGGCCTCCCCCTGTCCGCCTCCTTTCGGATTCGCTCTCACTTGTAGAAACTTTTACTAGCACTCCCTCCTCCTCCTCCTCCTCCTCCCCCCTTTCACCCACTGGGTTTTGTCGAGTTGTTGTTTTTTAAATCTGAAGCAAGTTTGAGTGAGCCCGATCGTGCACGGTGTGTGGGAATACTTCCAGGGATTTCCTCCCGTGTTTCCTCTTCGCGAGGCATTTTCTGGGGGCTGTTGGTCTCCTCCCATCCCCCTTCTCCGCCCCAGTGCAGACGTCGCAGCCTGATAGGCGATGAGTCTTCCGACTGTTTGCTCCTTGAAGCCTGATAACAACTGTTCCGAACAGAAGGTCTTCTGCCCCCTCGCTCCCTTGGTTTGATTGACTACCCCAGCAAGTTCCGTTGTTAGACTTTGATTTCGGAGAGGAATGATAGGAAGGAGGAAAGGTGGATTCAACCAGTGCTCGTTTTCATTCCCTTCTTTTCAGCGTTCTCAACTTTATAACTCCCTGTTTGTGATTAGTTTGTAAGGACTCCCTCTCTCGCCTTTAAGCACATGTTCCTAGTTATGCAGATTTGTTGGCACTTTTTGAAGTTTACTTGGTTTTGTGTGATTTATCATAACACAAATTGTATATAAAATCATATCTGCAACAAAAACTATCTCTGTGACTAGAAGTACAAATTCATATAAACAAGGGAATTGAAAATTGAGTCTTACACTGTACTGTGGTCTCTTGATAGATATGTACATTATTTTCCAATATACTGTGCTAGAGACAAGGTTCTGATAAGGCAGTCCTAAAAACAGGTTCCTGGAAGTAAACCATATTGGATAGACTATGATTCATTCTTGAGTAAAAATTCTTGGGGGTTGTGGAGAGGGTCAGCTCAGAGTCCTACTCAGGTCTGTACAGTAGGGCTTACTTCAAGGAAAGTGTTCTTAGGATTGCACAATGAGACCGTTAAAGACAATGGGCTTAGAAGGGTTTAACTCTGCTTAGGATAGCACTGTAAACCATATACTTTATAAATTATTTAGGTTAAGGAATCTATCTAATAAAAACAAAAGAGCTGTAGTGATTTGCTGCCAGATTATACTTTGAGACATACTACATGAAGAGGCATTAACAAATGTTCTGAAACTTTTCTGGCTTTTCCTTTTAAAAGGTGACTAAGATGCTTTCTAATGAACTTCTTGCTCATTCTATAAATTTAGGAAGACTTCAGCTTTGAAAGCAAACTGCTGTGCAGTGCTAGGACCTGTGGGCTGGGCAAAACCTGGAGTACATGTAGAAGTGCTTGTATGAGTCTGTCATAGTGTTGAGAGCATTGTCATGGCAAGTTTAAATATTTACTGCAGTTTACTTGTATTTACTGCACTTGAAAAAACAATCTGGAAACACTTTGCATCGTGATTTTAAATTGCATTTGAAAGTAATGAAGAAAATCTTTGCATATATCAATATTTATCCTTTATCCCTTATATTTAAAGTTTAGTGCTTTATCCTTTATATTAAAAGTTTATTTGGTTCAAAGACCTAGTGAATAAAAAACCGAAACTGCATATCTGGTACTTGATCCAACGCATATTTGTTCAGAAGTAGGTCCTAATACGTTTAATGGAATTTATTCCTAGGTGAATGTGTAGAGTTGCAGCCTTGGACTGCTGAACTGTCACAGTAGTTCAAAATAGGTTTTATAGTTGAAAAGGGATGTTGCTAGGTAAGATTGTGCTGAAACTTTCAAAGCGTTCCCTTTTAAAAGGTGGCTAGGGTGCTTTCCCATAAACTTCTTACTCATTCCCCAGATTTAGGAAGATTTCAGCTTTGCAAGCAAACTGCTGTGCAGTGCTGGTACCTGTGGGCTGGGCAAAACCTGGAGCACATTTAGAAGTGCTTGTATGAGTCTGACTATTGTACTGTTGAAAACATTGCCATTCAGCAGAACAAGCAAAAGGATTTGGATTTTGGGTTTCTCTCAGATGTAGGCTGCTTAGTCTGGATGACATTCACCTGAGAATTTGTAAGGAACTCAAGTGAACTTCAGTAAAATATGATCCTGCGTATTTTACTAAAGTTCACTTCTGAGTTCCTTACACTTCCTGAGTTCCTAAGACTGGCCTCCTTACAGGAGTGAAATTAGCCAAGTTATATTGATTTTTAAAAAGGTGACTCAGGAGAAGCCAGAAAAGGGCAGACCTGTGAGCTTAGATCAGTTTTAGATAACTTGGAAGAAAGCATTATTAAATGTATGGAAGAACAAGCCTTGCTGTGGAAGAATTAGCATGGCTTCTGTGAAGTTCTTTTTCAACAACATTTTGGTGTTTGAGAGTGTCGACAGACCTGCCAATAGAGTTGATCCAGTATACATTATATAATTGAACTTATAAAAACCTTCAGCACTTTTTAAAAGACTGCTGAGTAAACTTAGCATAGGCCTTGACAAAATTCCTTTGGATCTAGGAGCCAGCCCAAAAATGTGGTGCCAGACCTATCCATAACAAATATAATGTTTTCATTGTCACCTTTTTGACTTACCAGTGACTGGAATTTACAAAAACGTACACTACTTTTCAGCCACTTAACATATAAACAATGTGCTGTGAAAACTATCCATCTGGTGGTGATACATGTCCTTACTAAAATCCACTTGCCGTTTTTCAGATATTAGAGCAGTCGTTTCAGAAACCACAGTGGAACCATCAAGAAGTTCATGAAATGGATTATTGACTTGGAATAGTGCTATATACCAATAGATTCCCCCCTCCCTAGAAAAAAATAGACTGAGAGTATTTAGAATCTGTTTGGAATAAATTTATTTATGCATGTGTTAGTGCATCTTAGCTTAGGACAGCATACAGTATAAAGCTCTGTTTTTTTCAACAGATTTGAAGCATATACTGTTTCATACAGAAGGCTAAAAGCTACATTTTACACACACAAAAATTATTCCATTTCACTCTGAAAGAAATGCTTTAGGGCTTCAAAACAAATCATTAAACATCAGTAAAGCTAACTAATATATACCAAGGTAAATACTGAATGTAAGAAGACCTTCATGTCCACAAGCAAGATTGAACTAGAACTCAGCTGTTGCTTAAAAATAAACCCTACTGATACATCCATGTACAATTATTAAAAAGTCATTTGGTGAAAGCTCTTTATCCATAGATGCTGTCCTCTTTAATAATAGGTATGGATTTTTTTCACTCCTGAAGAAAATCAGCATAAAAAGTTTCAATAGTGTTTGTTGGTTTACAGATTCAGCTGATTTGATATCTGGAATGGAAATCATATTTTACCTTTTTCTTTTATCATTCTTTTTTCCACAGTCCTCCAAGCAACACATCTCCATGTGACCAGAAACTGTCACCATGTGAGACTGTCCTATATAAGCAGGCAGGGCAGTGTCTGAGAAAATAAATGAATTAACAACAAAATCCTAAAAAATCTGTGGGTGGCCATTGTAACCTCCATTTGATCAGGGACATCACAGTAGACATCCTCTGACAGCTGCATTTGGGTGATGGTATGGAATGCGGTCTGACAGAACAGGAATTTGTTCAAACATACAGCTCAGAAACAGGGATAACAGTTTTTATCATTCTTTAAGAACTGAGATTAACGTTAGTTTTGTTCCATTGACTTCCTCATGCATTATTTCTACAAGTAAATGGTCCTTTAAGAGTGCCTGTATAAAACATTCCACCAACCAATTTCTCTAGCTTGCAGCTTTCTATCCTACTACAAATCCTACTACGAATTTGAAGTGGGTAATAGGTTACAAAGGCTTAAAGCTTTGGAAATTAAAAAAATGGTTTTAGAATTGCAACTGGGTTTTCTTAAGATTATGAAAAAGCCATATGTATTAGTGGTCATGTTAGATTCTTGTCTAACTTCTAGGCTTGTTCATCTTAGATTAACGTGATACATGTTTTTAGAACCCGTTTTAAAAGGCCTTTTCAACCTGATCTTAACCATGTTTATTAAGAAATATGCCCAGTATCTTTATTGCAGTCTAGTGGCAATGGTTGGAGACCATTGAAACAGTGCAGTGAGTGTAGTACAAGATCTGTGTATATCATATGCCCTAGTTTCACAATATATTTCCATTTACCTAGCACATTTTATATGTATAGGGTTTGTGAAATACTGGTTCTGAGGGTATTTTGTTTCAGTGATGCACATTTAGTACTGACATAAATGCTTCCAGTTGACCACAATTCTTTGCTAATGTGTTCTTGTCGGGGAAACACAGCCTCTACTTATTACTCATTGTCTCTGAGAATACCAGTGATATTTATACTGATGTTCTTGGAGATTTAATGGCAACTAGTTATTAAGAACCTAAGAGAAGCCATGTTTGATCAGGCCCGTGGCCCATCCAGTCTATCACTCTGTGTCACACAGTGGCCAAAACCCAGGTGCCATTGGGACCAGAACTCCAGAAACCCTTGTGCTGTTACCCTCCAAGCACCAAGTATACAGAGCATTACTGCCCCAGACATAGTGTTCCATTTATACCTTGTAGCTAATAGCCACAGATGGACCACTGCCCAATATGTTTATCCAGTCCCCTCTAGAAGCTGTCTATGCTTATATCTGCCACCACTACTTGCGGCGGTGAATTCCACGTGTTAATTACTTTTTGGGTGAAGAAGTACTTCCTTTTATCTGTTCTAAGCTTATTTTCTGTTGTATTCCATTTAAAACAGCTGCATGTAAAATGGTTCTCAACATGAAGACATATTACTCATTTAACCCATAGAATAAATTGCTATCCGATAAATT